CAACTGGATGAAAGTAGTTGCCCCTTACCCTGAATCAATGTAAATCCATGGCAATTGACCTGCTTTGGGTCTCTGAGCGCTTTACCTTGGCGCTGGATTCGCTGTCCTGGAGTGCCGTGGAGCCTTGGGCGCAGAGGAGCGGGTGTGTGCACAGCACAGGTAACTCCAGAGCTGGGCACCCATGGAGGCGGTGGCTGCACACCGAGCTCCTGGCTCGCTCCGCTCCGTGCAGGAGGCGCATCTGTGTGCTGAGCTCCGGGTACTGTGGCTCCAGGGATCCTGCCCCTGTGTCCTACCCCAGGGCTTCTCTCAGTCTGGCTGCGGTGGGTGCAGATCCCCTTGGCCACTGAGAGAGACCAGGTGGGTCATGCTGTGCTGGACTTCCCAGGGCTGAAGAGCCAGGCGCCCGTTAAGCATTTGCTCTGCAGGTGCAAGACAACTTGTCATGCTTCACATGTGCACATGCGTGTACTTGCACATACACATGTGTATAGGCACAGTGCTCGGGGCAGAACAGAGTCAATCATTGTTTCAACGCACCTATGCATGATGAGCTATTCCAGCCCTTAATGCTTCTCGTGGCTTTGTGCTCCACCAGCAGCGGGCATCACAGAGGGGAAGCTGTGCACATCTGAATTCTGGCAGTCAGGGAGGGACAAACTTTCTTAAATTAAAATTAACTATTTTAGAAAAAGACATTCTCGCTGCCACTGCTGCGTTCTGCTGGGGCTTGTTTCCTACCTTCAGCCCTACCTGATGGTAGGATGTGATGTGTGCTGGAAGCAGTAAGCTCCTGATTTTTCAAGTATCAGTACATGAGACAGACAGCTACTACTGCTGTGTATAGAGCTGGGGCCTTGTGTCTTGAGCATCTTCTGACAATCTTATGCCCTTTGTGGCCTGTGATTGCTGTGTCTTCACCTACCTGAGGGATGGGATTTATTCTGTTCTTTAGCTGCTCGAAAAATAGATTATACTCAGACCAGCCATGACTCTCACATGTCTGAGGTTTCCTGAGGAGCCCCGAGGTCTGGATGAGAGCTGAGCCCTGGCCATGCCATCCCTGACCGGGCCGTGCCATCCCTGGCTGCTGACGGGCGCAGTGGGGGCAGGGGGCTCTGCAGCTCCGCAGTCCTGGGGCTGGGCACTGAGTCTGCTCACCCTGCACCCAGATCCTCTGTGCCTGCTGCGCTGCTGCCGTCTCCTCGGGTTATCCCAGCCCAATGTTCCTCACCCTCCTGCTGCCACTCTGCACCAAGGCCACTCCATGGCGCTGCTCCTCTCACTCTTGCCCAAGGACACGAGGAGTGTGTCGTGGGCTCCTTGCAGCCCTGGTAAGGCTGGCCCTGGCCAGGGTGACACCAGCCCCGGGCAGAGTGGGCTCCTTCGGGGGGCCCCGGCCACCACCCTGCCTGCGGGCTGAGGATCAGTGCTGCTGTCCTGTCTCAGGGGCTGCTTTGGGGATGGGTGGAAGCAGAGCACAGTGGTACTGATGCGGTAGGGACCATACTACGTAGGCTTAACCATTTAGTGCCTTGGTGCTGATGCCTCCCCACTGCAGGGCTCTGACTCCACCAGCCTCAATGTGACCTTTTGGATTGGAGGTTTGTGAAATTTTATCTGCTCTCCCACCTTTTTCTCACATGAGGGAGGAGAGCAATACAGTAATAAACGCTGTGTGGGTGTTCGGACTCGAATTCATTGCCTCCTCTGCTCACCACATCCTTCTGTCGGCACAGTAATACCGATACGGTGGTGACGTCGGCCGCCACCCGTCGCCGCGTATCGCAGCGCCGCAGCCCTGGCTGTGCACAAGTGGGCTTTGCTCTTGCTCAGTGCCGATGAGATCCGCCCCTGCCAGCTCCCGCGCGTGCAGCGCCTGCAGTCGCAGCAATGATTTAGCCATCCCCGCCGTGGAGGTGTGGAGGGCTGAAATGGACAGCTGAAAGGATGGGGCAAGGTAATGTCCACGTTCCCACCTATTTTTGCCGCTGCCAGTTTGGTGCTGCTTGGTATGTGTGCCTGCACTGTAAACCTTTCTTGTAGCTGATGTGGCCCTTGTGCCCCTGCTGTCATTGCTGCTGGCCTCTGGAGAGCCCTTCTGTATCCCTGTTACTTTGGCTTTGTGATTAGGTGGCAGTGTGCACTGATAATTTATTTTTTTTCAAGAAGAAAGCTTGTTTTTGCATATAACTGGTGGACTGAAAGACTTCTGCTCCTTTTGGCACTTGGGTGTAGCTGTGACATTTATTTTCTCATGCTTGGAAATACCAGGGGTTTTTACCTTTTTTTTTTTTTTAACTTAAACTGAGTTCTTAGTTTGTGTTGAAGTTTTGTAAGTGCCTGCTTTTCTTGGAGATGCTTCAAGTTGTGAACTCAGACTGCACCCATCTGTGGCAGCTTATAGCACCATATTTCCAGATCCTTAACAGGTTTTTACAGTGAGGGTGGTGAGGCACTGGCACGGGTTGCCCAGAGAGGTGGTAGAGGCCACATCCCTGGGCCCGGTCAAGGCCAGGTTGGATGTGGCTCTGAGCACCCTGATCTGGTTGAGGTTGTCCCTGCCCACTGCAGGGGTTGGACTGGGTGACCTCTAAAAGTCCCTTCTGATGCTGCGAGGTAAGCGTTGGGCTAATGTGCATTGGCAAAGGTAAGAGATGGGGCAGTGAAGTCCCAGGTGAGGAGGTATTGACTCCTTGCTCCACCTGTGTTGGTGGATCCTGCTGCTTTTCTGTCTTTCTTTTGCTACTGTGCTCTTACTTGGGAAGCTGCCTCTGGATTACAGCCTGGTACATTAACCTCTCTACAGTGTGCCACGGCAGCCTCTGGTACCTCCATGAGACATCTTCCTGATGAGCTGCCTGGGCTCACTGCCTTGAGCTCCTCCTGTTCAGCCTTTCCTGTCCCGTTGGGTTGGTGGTGCTGCTCTCTGAGCAGAGGAGGGAAACAGGGAAGACACTCAAAAGAAATCACAGTCTAGTAACTAAATGCAGCAAAGACTTCCCTTGTGTTGCTCTGTCTGTTTAGGCAGGAATGGGGGTAAAATGAGGGAGCTACAGAAACATGAACGTGAGACTTTGGGGGATCCCGAGAAAAGCCGTAGGTCTGCGGGGCTGGGCGGGCTGGGCCGTCCCTCCCTTTGCTGGAGAAGAGGCAGCGAGTTGCCTTTCTTGGCCTTACAGCATGGGCAAGGCTGCGGAGCGGGATGGTCGCACAGCAACGGGATGCGAGGTGAGCTCCTGCTGCGAACACAGGACTGGACACCACGGGTCTGTCCTTGGCCAGAGAACTGTGACCAGAGTGGTCAGGAAAGGTCCTTCCTCAAGGCAATGTAAGATGCAGGAAGAAGGGCTGGAGCGTGAGGAAAGAGTTTCCATCCTGCCCCTTGCAGCAGGCGAGGGAGGCTTGGGAGGGCTGGGGCTCTGTGCTGAGCTGGGGCACAAGGAGCTTCACCTGCAGGAAAGTGTCAGGAAAGGGGGCAGCAATGGGGCCACTCCTGCCACAAGCTGGGGGGTTCGTGGCACCTCCTGAGCAAGCTGAGCTGTGCTGATCTCATCTGGACAGCATGGTGTCCTGTGAGCAAGGCTCTGAGCTCACGTGGGACTGCAGGGACTTTTTGGTGGCTGCTAAATTTATTTTGCTTTCATTATTTGAGTAAACCTGGGAAATTTTGAAACACCACAAATGTTCCCCTAGTGGGAGACTTGCTGGCATTCCCTCTGCTGAGTGACTGCCCAGGTGTTTGCTGCTGGTGGGGGGAGGCGCCCCAGGACCTGGGTCCTGCACCTGCGTCAGGGCAGCCACTGGTACCCGTGCAGGCTGGGGGATGGAGGGGCGGAGAGCAGCCCTGCAGAGGAGGACTGGGGGTGCTAGTGCACGAGAAGCTGGACGTGAGCTGGCAACGTGCACTTGCAGCCCAGAAAGCCAACCCCGATCTGGGCTGCATCCCCAGCAGCGTGAGCAGCAGGGCAAGGGGGATGCTGCTCGGTGTCGTGTGGACCCTACCCACTGTCTGTGCATCCTTGCAACTTGCTGCCAACAGAAGTATGTCCTAAAAATAATACAGGTGACTTCCCCAAAGTCTTGTCCCCAGGCAGGCTAGCCCATTTCAGAATAGCTCGAGAAAACGGTGCTGACATCTGTACCAACAGCCGATACTCTGCAGGGAGCTCATTTTAAGTCTTTCTGTGCACATCTGAGTGTTTCTGTAAATGCTAAATGCTGTGAAAACACACCCTTAATGTGTTGTGTGGCTTCAGGGCCTGGTCTCGGAGCAGGGGCTGTGGGCCAGGCGGTCACTGGTACGTGATGCTGTTTGCTGTTATTGCTGTGAACATCCTGCTCTCCTCTTCTCTGGAGACTTCCCTGTGGGTTCTCTGCGCCGGGACAGCCTTCCTGCAGCGAGCGCCGTGTGTCGCTCTCTTCTGTGCCGCATGGGAGACTGTTATTTTTATGTCTGGTCTGCCGTCCTGGAGTCCAAACCAATGAGTTCTCACAAGCCTTGCTCATACAAACCCACAGTGACATTCAGACCCTATTTGACTAATTCACTGTACAGATGTTGAAGCCACAGCAATGTCACTTCTCCTAGTCGCAAGCCATTTCTAGTTGCAGGAAACCAATGAAGAAGAAATGAGTTAGCACTGAACCCAAGAGCCTTCCTGTTGCATGGATGGAGCATGGCTGCAGCCTCTTTGCTGCCTTCTCTGTGCCCGTGCTGCTGGCAAGGAGCAGTGGTTTCACCGGCCGGGTGTATGGCCAGCTGGCAGGGCTCATGGTTGTCCCCCCTTAGCCCATGGAGTAGATACATACAGGAGAGCTGAGGTGACTTGCCTAAATTAGACGCTGCTTTCATTTAAATGTCTAAAACTGATATTAATTCCACCTGAATGCTCAACATATGAGTAGATGGCTGAGCTGAACTTTTAACTGGTTGGTTGAGGTTTTATAAGTTGTTGGGTTTTTGTGGTCTTTTTCCAGGACATCCAGTCAGAACCAACATGAGGATCAAGCTGTGGCTTCAGACTATTTCCTTCTTCCTTTTGCTCCACTACAGTAAGTTCCCAGATGTCTCTTCCAGGCTGTACACCTGCAGGGTGTATCTGGGTGGTGTTGATGCAGGCTGTGTTGAGATGTGCACATTACAAGGATGCTGTGGGACAGCAAGCATGAGAGGGTGGGATGGGCTGAGTTATAGCAGAGGCTCCATGGACAGTGGAGGACAGGCACAGCAAGGTGCACAGCCAGGCTGCACACGGGAGGCTGCAGAGGCAGTGCCTGCCCTGCACTGAAATGTCTCCTGCTAAAATCTGAGTAGGATTTCCCCCAAAAACCCACCTTTGCCATGGGAAAGGTTGTGGTGGCCAAGACCAGGATGTGCCCAGGGCTCATGGCTGCTGTTGGCCGGCCAGAGGCAGCGGGTGAACCTCTCCTGCTCAGGACGGCGCTGTGTGGCCGCTGCCCTTCCTGGCCGGTCCCTGCCCACCCCGTGGCCTGACTGGCTCAGAGCCGAGTTTCAGAGCAGGTCGGTGGGCAGGGGCAAGGTCAGAGTTTTACATCCCAGGCAGAGCATGGGACCTGCTCCAAAACCTCAGCAGCAGCAAAGATGAATTCAGAGCTGTGTCTTCTGACACGCAGGACCACTGTGATGTCTGGTCTGAATTTTGTGTAATGCAAGCTAGGGAATTACCCTGCACTAATTTCAGTTTGGACCAAACTAGATCTTACTGTTAAAAGTATTTGATTTTTATTTCGAAGCTGCCAAGGACGGACAATTAATCCTAGATCTAACTGGGTTTAGGGCACTTAATTATTCCTTTCCAGGCAAAAAGGTTTCCTCTTCTTAATTTTGTTAACAGATTCTTGCTCAAAGATATGCTTGCAGCTTACCAGCTACCTTGGAATAGTAGTCCATTTGACTGATTAACCTAATAGCACAGAAGACTGCTAATTAACAATGCTTATTAACTTATTAATACTTGCCACCCTCTCTAAAGGAAGGCGAGGGTTTTATAACCCCGTTTTTGTAGGAGAGTGAAGTTAGGCTAAGGGAGAGAAGGTTTCTTGTTCAGGACTGGAACAAGCAGTGCTGGGGCCTCCAGAATGGCCTCTCAAGGGCTCAAAATGAAAAGCTAAAACTTCACGAAAATTTTAGAACAAAATTCTGTAGTCAGTGTGAAATTACAAAGTCAAAATGAAACAAAGTGGCAACCACATACTTTGAATCACTTACAGTTTAATAAAGCATACACACAGCCTCAGGGCCAGCCTGTCACAAGCATCTCCAAATGTCTCCTCTCGCCATCCTGACTCTGACTGGGGTCTCGTATGCAAACCTGAGCTGTGCAGGGCAAGTAGTGAGTGCTCTGGTTCACTGAGCCAGGAAGAAACTTTTGTGAAGAGCGAAGGCTGTGGGGAACGTTGGACTTGGTGTTGCTCTGTCCCTGCTGTGGCATGGTCAGGCTGTGCCCTGCACTGGAGGTGCCCGCAGTGACTGTGAACACAGAGACAGCTCCCTCGTGAGGGCTGGCGCTTGCTCTGGGGGTGCAGCAGATGCTCCTGGTCCCCCAAACAGAAGCACGCGCTGCCTGTGTGCCGCGCTGGTTGTTCTCTGTAAAATCGAGCACTGTGGTCTTTCATCTCGTGCAAACAGCGCTTCTGAACACAAAGCACGTTCAGCAGAGGGGAGGTGAGAAGCAGGGAGTGCAGCTTCGCTAACACAAGCAGCAGCACAGCAAAGGGAGGTGAACTCACAACATGGTCAGCATCAGCAGATTGGGGTGCCTGATGGCTGTCAGGTGAGGTGTTCCCGTCAGGCGGACCCATGCTTGATACAGCATGAAGGTACAACCTCGGGATCTTCCCCTAGATGGTGACAGGTTTATTCCCATCAAAAAGGACGCTGCACACATCAGAGATGAGCAGTCACCACGGTGCCATGGCTCATGGTGGTGTCTCCTGCAGGTTGTCCTGCCCGGCCGCTCCCGCTGCGGAGCGGTGGCTCCTGTCAGCCTGAGGTGCTGTTGGGAGAGGACTCCTGGGTGCCAGCGTCCCGCACGCTGCTGCCGTCTTCCCCTTGAAGCCCAGGGAGGCAGTTGAAACAGGGCTTCTGTGCAGCACATCTTGGGCACCGGTACATGAGCAGAGCTCCTGCAGAGAATTGGAAGAGCATAGATGCTGCTTTGTGGCCAATTTCAAATTAGCTAATTTTCTTAATGACCAGCATAAATTCTACAATTGCCTCTCAATTTCTCTTTAGAAGTCTGTTTCTGTTTAAGTGATTAATAAATTGTGCCTGTCCCTTTAGTACCAGAATGATTTAAGGAAATTAGAGCAACTACAAAATTGCAATTTTTTTTTTCCTTTTCTTTTTCAAAAATTCTATGAAAAGCACATTCTGAGCCTCTGGAGCTGTACAGGGAAAGTATTGATGCTGCAGATATCAAGCTGTAGAAAATAGTAAGGAGAAGGAATGGTAAAGAATTACTAAAATACCACTTTTTAAAATGTGCAGAGTGCTGTCTAGATACTATAAAAGGAAATCCAGACTAGCAAATAACAGTACTCAATTTAGGAAGTGTCACATTAAAATGTTTGCCTATGGCACTGTTTCTGATTGGGTAATCATGTGTATTTTATGTGCTACACAAGCTAGGACTCTTGCAGAAGTAGAATGTGACCGCTGTAGTGACTGTCTCAGAGGGGACAGAGAGTTTTGACAATTCAGCCACAATTTGGGCATTTCCTGGTATTTTGGCTGCCGTTTGCTGCTACAGCACTGTCAATGGTTTGTGTTTGAGGCTTGGTTTGCCTCCCTGTGGAGGTGGAGCTCATCTCCAAGGCTGCTGGCACAGCGTGGTGTAGTCAGTGGGAGCCCTGGGCGCTGTGCGCTGATGGTTCCGCTTGCTCCATCGCAGGAGCTGATGTCGTGTTTTCTCTCTTCAAACCTACAGCTACGAGTTCTGAAAACCTCACTTGTTTTGTGGACTACGTACAGACCCTGTCCTGCATCCTGAGAAACGACTTGGGTGCCAGTCCATATAACCTCACTGCAACGTGGTACGTCTCGGTCGTGGGAGCTTCCAACGTGGCTGAAGCCCAACGTTGTCCCTCTCTCCTCTTGTTTAGCGTGGGCTCTTGTTCATGCTGCCGTGCTGGTGTTCACTGGGTCCTTCGTGCTCCAGCTACCCACTGGCTTGTCCCGTAGCAAAGCACCCCTGGTTCCTGTGCCCGCTGCCTGCCGCACCCACCCTGGCTCCCTTGGCGTGGTTTTCTCTGCTGTCCTGGAAATGCCTTGCCCTCTGCTGCCGTTACCGAGGGACGTTTGCTTGTGCAGCTGGTCCAAGCCCTGCACGGCTGCTGTGCTGCCCCAGCCCAGAGGTGGATGCGGTCCTGGGCTGTGCAGCCCTGGTGAGCACCTTTCCTTGACACAGACGCTTCATCATCACTTTCCTACTTCTCTCACAGATGCTAAGCTGAGCAAATAGAAGGAAAAAAGGAAATTTGTTGAAGTTCAAAGATAAATTTTTATTTTAACGCGTTGCCTCTCTTTTTCTTACTAATTTCTGTGCCTGGCGTTTCAGCCACAGATGAGTCCACCTACAGCATGCGGTAGATGTAGACTTGTTTGTTTCGGTGTTTTTAGGGTTCTTGAGGATGACCCAGCAAACCCTGTGGCTGCCTGCAGTCTGCTGCAGCTGTCCAGGAACACCAGTCACACTCGGTACGCGTGCGCTGTGGACATGACTGAGCTGCCGGCAGATGCCAAAGTCCAGGTGGATGTTACAGAGAGAGCTGATGGGCAGCACGTGATTTCCAAAGGCTTTTATATGGCAGAGAACAGTAAGTACAATGATGGTGGATCTGATAAATACTGCCTGACCTTATGCCTGTCTGCTGGGATAGTCTGGGCAAGGAGCGAGCATGGCAGCCAGTGGTGGGGTTCATGTCTGGTGTGCCTTTGCCTATGCAGAGCACTGCTGCTGGAGTTCATGCTTTACTGCTTTCTGATAGATGAAAACACCCTGTGGGGATACAAAAGCTTGCCTTTTAGGCACTTACTATGCAGGGATTTGCACTGGGTTTATGCAGTGTCTGCAGTCATGTTGTGAAGGTTAACACCATCCTGTCTTCCAGTCAGACCACAGCCTCCGTTCAATCTGACTGCTGTGTTCTCAGAGGGCTACAATATTTCTTGGGAAACTATCTACCAGAACTCTCCTTTCTACTTTTTGGATGAGGAGCTGGAATATCAGCTGCGTTATAAGAGAAGGACCGACACCTGGGAGGTAAGCGAGATGTCCAGAGGTTTAACATCAAGTAGGATGTACCAGCAAAGAGGATGCCGGCACAACCGGACAGGAGCGCTGGTGCGCAAGAAGGGTTTCCATAGTTTAGAAAAGGTGTCTCCTTGCTTGATGGGACTAAAACAGGCAAAACTGAAAAAAGAACTGAGAAGCAGAAGCTGTTAGAGAAGTACTAGGTCCTGTGGGATAGTTCCTGTGCTTCCAATGCTGTCTTGCACCAAAGGGTCCTCTAGGGCCCCATGCAGCTGCTGGCCACGCAGAGCACGGCCTTCAGAAACACTGTGAGAGCAGAGAAGGTGGCTTTGCAGGGCTCCCCATGGTGCAGCAGTGGGGTTATGGTAGGAGCTGTCACCAGCCCTGAGTGCTTGGTGTTTAATTCTTCACAGACTCAGAAGACAAAAGCTATCCATGAAGATAAGCGGACACTGGTGATCCTGCCGTGGGAGCTCCAGGCGAACACTGAGTACGAGTTCCAGGTGAGGGCCAGGCCCCGAGAAGACACGAGCTACAGTGGATTTTGGAGTGAATGGGGTCCTCCACTGACGCTGAAAACCAGACCTGCCGGTACGTACAACCGGCTGTCCTTGCTGTTCTCGTTGGTCCAGTGTCAGATAGTGCTTCCAGAGCTCTAATCAAACGTCATTAATTAGAACAAATTCTAAATGTTCTAGTAAAGACAGGCGTGTTTGTCTTGCTTACTGAGTACATGGACCCCAGGCCTGGGCTGGTATGTGCTGTCTGTATTGACCTTCTCACTGTGCTGCAAAGCCCACCTTACAGCGTGGCCCATGGGAAGAGGGTATGGGGGGGTTGGCCGTGGGTTTGGGTGCCACAGCAGGAGTGGCAGCCTCTGGCTTCCTTTCCAGTGTCAAATGTCCAGCGTCCTGCTTGCAGCCCTCAGAAATGGGGGAGGTTCAGACCTCGTGTTTGGGGTGCTGGGCCCCAGGTGACAGCCTGAGTGTCCCTAAGAGAAAGTTTGGGGTAGAAATTGACGGTGTCTTCTCACCATCTCCTGCTTATTGACCAGAGTGGAAATGCAAGGTGAGCCTGAATGACCCTGCCTCTTTCTCCAGCAGTGACACAGACCACAGGCATGGGATGGCTGCTGCTGTTTGGTGTTGTCGTGGCAATCACTGCCTCAATCACAACCTTTCTGGCCAAACAGCGGAGGTAAGTATGCTTCAGGAAGCTGGAGTAAGTGCTCCTGGTCTTGCGAAGGACGGGGTGTTCACATGCAGCCTTCCTTGCATTTTGTACATCCATGCACGGGCACAGTGTTGGGCCTGTGAGGGCCAGCAAGGTGTGGTCTCCAGCTGGTGCCCTTGGCAGGGCATCTTGCTCTTCCCTGAGGCTCCACCACTGTTCAGCTGGCTGGGACAGGACAGTGGCACATGGGGATGGAGCTGGGGTCACCCGGCCTTTGGGCTGTTCAGCTCCTGTCTGTGCTCTGCAGGTTTTGGATGGGAGCAGCAGCCAGGGCTGCGCTGCCTCTTTCCAAAGCTGACACAGGCTCCTCGGTGCTGACTGGGGCCCCCCTCTCTTTTTTGGAGGGTCCTGTGCTCTTGCAAAGGGATGGGGTGCATGCTGCCATGGAGGAGGCCCATGGCCACAAAAGTGCACGGGGCAGAGTCCTGGCCTGCAGGTGCCTGAGCAGAAAACATCTTTCCAGAATTGGTGCTTTTCCAAAAAATGGGAACTTCTTTCCTTAACGTGAATGTTGTGTGTGCATGTCCTGAGGGCTGGGCTCCATCTCCTGTGAGGCTCACAAGAGAGGCCATTAAATGGCTCTGGCAGCACAGGACATCCTTGATCCTCGGCCACTTGCTGACTTGTGAGGCTGGGCAGGTGATTTCAGCTCCTTGAACTGGATCTGAAGATGTCTTGGTTTGCATCTGTAAACTGTGCTTAACCCCAAGGCCTTTCTCTTTTCTCTTCCAGCTTGTGGGAGAAGATGGCTTGCATCCCAGACCCTGCTTCCTTCTTCAAACCACTTTACCAGGTGCATAATGGAGATTTCAAGGTATAACTGGGTTACACAAGCAAGGGACAAAGTTAAACTAGATGGCCCATCGTGCTATCCTGGGCAAGGGATTCTCATCAGGGCAATGGAAGGGGGAATCTGCCTCAAGAGAAGGCTAGATGGCTCCAGATGTAAGGACCAGAGCTTTGTGCCAGGAAGGCTTTTATGCTGCTCGTGCCCTGTAGGTGCTGGCTCGGGGTGAGCTGAGTTGAGCCTGTGTCATCTGTGAAGCCTGGGACCTGAAGGGAGCAGATAAAGGCATACCAGGACAGCAACTGGGATTTTTCCCAAGCTCCGGTCCCATGCTGCCATCAGGCCATGGAGCAGACTTCATTATAGAGCCAGATCTCCCTGTATGTGCTGGTCTGCGAGTGCAGACATCACTGCCCCTCTCTGAACAAGTTCCTGTTGGTACAGCAGCACTGATCAGAGATGCTCCAGTGTCTGTTTCTTGTTTCTGCTTTTTCTTAGACACCCTGGGAGAGGGGCACCAGCTGGGCCCTAATGATCTTCATGTACTTTATCCCTGCCACATGGCTGATGTTTGCAATCAGGTTAAGCAAGTAGTCTTGGATGGGTGCCACTCCAGCTGCAGCTGCAGAGACTGTCTCGCTTCCTTCCTGCCTTCCCCTCCCAGCCCCAGCACAGCTTCCCAGACCTGCATCGCTTGCGTGCCCTCGTGGGGCTGGTGCCACTGGTCGCTCTCAGCACAGGAACTGGGACCAGGTGGACTCAGTGCAGGGATCCCCAAAAGCCGTGGGCTGACAGCGCCCTGCGTGCCCAGCACCGCGCTCCTCTCAGGGTGAAGCCATGGGGCTCTCTCTTTGTGGGAATTGTGTTCGTGCTGGTTTCTGGTGAGGCTGTTCAGTGCTGCAGGGAAGCGAATGAGCCGCAGTTGCTGAAGCAGAGTTGCTTCTTAATAAATTAGCAGGCTTAAAGCAGTGGTTGCCCACACAGCCACAGCACAAGACGCACAGACAGGGGTGTACAGAGGATGTGGTGGCATCACTGATGTGCACAGACGCGTCCCTTTCAGCTGGCAAGAAACAAATTGATCTGGGGCTCATCCAACTGCATCCTGCCTGCATCAAAGCAAGTGGTTAGGTTGTGTCTGTGAATGACGATCAGCAAATCACAATAGCAATGCTCTGCAGGCAACAGTCCAGGATTGGGTAGGAAGCAGTGAAAATGTCAGAGGAGAAGTTAAGACATGAAAAGAGAATGGAACGTCATTTACTCATGCACGTGGGTCCTTATGTTCATGTTGGCGGAAACTTGCAAAGAACTGTCAGGAGGGAATAGGACATATTCTGCCTGTTCAATTCTAAGAAAGGGATTTCCTGCTGTTTCTTCTTGTGCCTTTTGCACCTTAGGTGCTTTTCTGTCCGTTACATTTTTAATAATAGATCTTTGTAGCTTAAGTTAAAAATAAATTAAAATGGACTTGGTGCTGCCTGCTGGAATGAAGATTTTTCTGTGTGAGAGTAATAAACTGTGTTAAGTTGTTCTCTTCCCGGACACTTTGCTCACGTCCTGTTAGGCTGGGTGCAGCCTGGGACAGGAGGCTGATATGATTCGGGCAGTCTGACGGCTGTGGCAACACCCAGCTCCCATGCAGTGCTCTGTCAGAAGCCTTTGCAGCCTTATGAAGCCCAGCGTTGTTACCTGCTTTATACACAGCAGAAAGTGGTGCTCTTAGAAGAGCCCTGGCAAAGCTCAGACAAATGTCAGGGAGCAGAACCAAGCCTTGGGTCTGTGCTGTGCCCAGCCTCTGCAGCAGAGGGAGGGCAGTGACAGCCAGGCTGTGTCCGGGTGCAGGCACAGCACAGGGAGAGGAGCAGTGTCCAGGGCAGAGGAGGTTTGGTGGCCTGGGAGGGGGTCTCTGGCTGATGCACTCGGGAATGCTGCTATGGGCAGTGGCACTCTGCAGCATAAACTGCACAGCCACGCAAACCCCTCAGAGCTCATTATTTTTAGTTACTTGAGTCAGTTCTCCTGCAGCAGCCTGTCTGGTAATAACAGCATCTCATACCTGCTATTTTGGAGGAGTCAGTGATTTTTAGAGTTTGACTTTGCCTCTAAAAGCATAAAAACTTCAGTGATTTCTGTGGAACTGCACTACTAACTTTTGTCCCTCCCGTCCCCCCTCACCCTGTATGTCCTTTTATGCAGAAGTGGGTTGGTGCATCCCATACAAAAATGACTTTCGACCTCTTTGACTGGGGAGCAGTCCTGCCAGAAGTCCTAGAAGTTTACACCATGCGTCCTTCCAGCAGCACCTCGCAGGAGGAGCTGCATGAGCTGAGGAAAGATCTGCCCTGCAAGCCCTGTGAGTCTTGCCTGGCCACCCCAGGTCAGGACAGCCAGTCTCTGCTGTCCAGCGTGAACGGCAGCAGTGAGGCTCGGGACCGCTCATATGGACACTTGTCCATCGATACAGTGACTGTGGCTGATGAATTCACACCTTGTAACTGCCAGTGCCAGTGTAACCGTGTGTACGGGGGGCACAAGCGTACTGGCGAGGAAAATAGTGCTGGAGAAGCCGGTTACCCCAAGGTTAACTTGGATAACGAAGACAGAAAGGCATCCAGTGAGTTGCATCTGGCTGACCTGAGCACACAGGACAAAATACTTGCTTCAGGCTCTGTGTCCACAGACCACCCGAGGAGTACAAGTGTCACAGCCCACCGGCAAGTAGAAAGGGCTTTGGAAGGTATGAGGAGCATCCTTGAAGCCCATTGCTTGCATCCTAATCAGTGGGATTTGGAAAATTCAGCTTCTCTACCTTCTCCTGATGGTGAAAGTGTTTCCTACAGCGAAGGCTCCTGTGACTTCTTCCCTCACATTGCGAGGCCTGGTGACAGCTACCCTCTGATCTGCGTGGATTTGGACACTATGGACAGCGGCTTTGTGGACTCGGACTGCGGGAGTCCCGTTGACTGTGACTTTGAGCAGAGCGGCCAGAGCAGCTGTGGAGCCATCCCCCTGGAGCCGGACGGGGAGGACTTTCCACGGAGCTACGTCAAGCAGTGGGTCTGCTGCCGCCCCGACAGCCCCGTCAGCGGGACACAGGCAGACTGAGGACGGGGGGGCTGCCTTGCAGAGTGCAGGGACTTTTCCACACTGTGCCAGGAGCAAAGTGTTACCAAAATTCAGGAGAGAAACCAAGCTGACTTTATGTAAGCTCTATTGCATACAGTTGAAGATGTTTAGGGCCATAGAAATGCATGCCTATTTTTATTGCCACTTGTCCTGTTAATGTCTCATACCCAACGTGATTGGGAATTGCTTTGGTTTGGTTTGTTTGTTTCAGAATCCTAGGTCAAATTGCTTTATAATGGCAGAAAGAGCAGCTGTACCTTGAAAATTACCCTTTAGCTTATGTAGATGTGCATTTTTTTTTCACAGAAACCTTATAAAGACTACAAAAGTTTAACTTATTTTTCCCTGGTATTCTCACATGACTTGGGACTTTGGACGTAGATGATTCTTAGAAGCATAACCCATGACAAGCACAGCTGTTACATTAAAGTACAATTTCCAAACAACACAGGTAGTGTTACTTTTCCTGCTAATATCTTTGGCTCTTTAAACCCAGATGTCATAGTTTGTTAATTGTGGAGGGTCCTAGCCCTGTCCGTGGGGTATGATCAAAACCAATTCTCATTTCATCACAGAACTGTGTGTCCAAGGGACCAGACACAGCTCGAGTTTCAGAAAGACTTTGCCTTTCCAGGTGGAGTCTGCAAATGAAAACTCTTGAAAAAACATAAAATTCCAGACAAACGCTTGCTCCCAGGGCTTTCTACTGAATCAGCATCTCTCCCAGCATTTTCCAAGCACATTAACTGAAACATTGAGCAGCTTTTAGAACTACACAGAAATTTCAGAAATGTTGTGCTTCCTGGATGTACCTGCAACTCCATCTTCTGCCTTGGACCAGGTCTGCTGCAATTAACAGGTCAGTAGCACAAAGTCTGAGCAATTTCTGCTAGCTGATAGAGCCGAACAAGAAACTGCTATTCGCACTGTGATGGTGAATGTGTTTCCCTCTGACATCTCTGTATCTCCGTTGTTTAGGGTAACTGTCTCTAAAAGTTGCTGCAATACTGATGCTGAGTGTGCAGACCTGCATGTCCTGTAGGCACAGCGCTCTCACCCGTGGGCTGCTGGGCTGAAGGTCTTACCCTGGGAGAGCCGTTGTGCCGATGCAGGTTTCCAGTGTGGTGGCGATCTGTTGTTGCTGTGATGCCAAAAAACTCTCCTCCCTCTCCTCCATCTCTTACCCAACACTTTAGCCAGCCCTGCAGCTCCCTAAACAAGAGGGAGCGTTATAATGAAGCAAAGCAGTTTCTTTCACAGGTGAGTGCTGGGAGAGTTTTTATACACATCCAGATCCATGGTTCGCTTGTTCAGAACAACCATGGTCTCCGTTACACTGATTTTCAACCTATGGAGCTCAGTTTTACCCGTGCTGTTTTTACTTCCTCAATATACCCTTAGCTCAGTGTTTTCCTGGGCGCTGCTCCAAGTTACCAGGTGTTTGGGTTCCTCCCTTCCTTGTTTTCCATTTTTCTTGTCATCCTCTGTGATAAGTCGCAGAAGGTGTCGTCTTGGTGCACTTACGCGTCTTCCCTGCCGTGCTGGAAGTCCAGGCCTGCCGTCCATGAGGCAGCAGGGCATGGAGCCACCCCCAGCTCCTCTTTGTGAGCTGAGCCTGCCCCGTGCTGTCCTAAAGATCTGCTGGCATCGTGCTGATGTCTCTGCAGAAGTGCACTGGGTAGAGGCATTGCTGCTGGTCCGTAACAGCCTCCTGAAGCTTCACCTTGCAGCTCTTTGCACTTCAGAATCTACCTTGTGGTAACTGACCCCAGGCTGCTTAAGAGAGAAGGGGAAACTTGCCTATCTCTCTGTTCACCTCTTACATCTCTGTTCTGCACGCTCCTTGTCTCTATCACTGTCATTGGGCCCTGAACTGCTGAAGGAGCTGTTTCTGTCACTGCTGCACTGTCTGTGGCCACACGTCTGGTAGAAGGCGGTGGTTTGCTGCTATGTTGGGCTAGAAGTTGCCGATGGTCACCCTGGGAAGCAGACTTCATGGGCAGAGCAGCCCATGCCCTTGTGTTGATGTGTGGTATAAGGATATTGAAATAAGGGAGACTGTTCCACTCAAAGCAAGCTGTAACAAGGCAGTTTTTTGGCCAATAAGTTGTTGACACTGTGGACACAGAGGGTTTTGAGGTGAGGTTTTATTCTGTGGCTCATAGCAGTGAACTGCAGAAGTCCTTGACCTAGCAATATCTAATTCTTAAACTGTGTTTCCCCAGGGATGCTAGAGCTATTGTCCCAGGAGCTTCCAGTGTAATGTAATGCTTCTCCTGTTTACTCCATTTGCCTCTATAGACATCCAAAAACAGGGGAGGTAGTAAAACGTATGTATTTCATACTGGGTTGACAGTAGACAAACAGTGGATGTCTATCCAAAAACACCAAACCCAAACTTCAAGATAGATGCAACTTAAATCACCTGGTGAGGTACAGTGTCCGCCTGATGGAAGCTACTTGGAACAGTGGGACGGGTGTACCTGGGTCCTAGAAAACATGAAAGCAGGGTCTGAGTGGCCTTTGGAAAGCAGGAGTTCAGGTGCTGCTCTGAGCTGAGTGGCACCTGGCGTGAGGAAGTGTGGGAAAAGGCACCTTGCAGAGAGCTGCAATGTTCTTGTCAGAAATACTGCTCTGTGTTTTGGCACAGTAACTGGGAAAAGAAGTTTGTGCCTTGCTGTTTGAGTCAAACTGCTGCTGAGCTCCCATATCGATTTTTCTGTCTGCCTGTAGGCAGAATACGGTAAAAGCTGTGGGTCTTACACAGCCATAACATCTTTATGGTGACCTGCAGCAGTAGGCTGGGAAGATGCAGGGATACAATTTGTCTCTAGAGGAGAGAGAAGTTTTCTGCTGTAGCAGGCGCGGTACAGGCATCTGGACAGTTTGAGGCGAGAGGTGTTGTTTGCTTGAATGACACTCTGAAGGCTGCTTGCATTTTAGGGGCTTTCTACTCCTGTTTAGGATTGTTGTAACTATAAAAAGTGTAAGGTGCATTTAGATGGGTAACCATGGGGCCTGATGGGAGCTGGCAGGAGTCCCATTGGATGGGGAAGGCGACAGAGCAGGGATTTGGAGCAGAGCCATAACTCGGACTGTAGTACAAATTTGGAAACGTCTGTCTCCTCTTCTGCATGGCCCTGCCTTCTTGTCTCCTGCCCCAGAGCAAATCCTGGCAGATGGCTGCTCAGTTTGCGCTGTGCCTGCTTCTCTCATCCCCATCTCTGGCGCTAGACCCACATACGTGACTGACCCGATGGATCCCGACTGTAACTGCTGCAGCATCGCAGCTGGTACAGGAAGGTCTGGTCCTTGCTCTAGGATCTGGATGTGGGAGCGCTGCAGAGAGCTGCCCCCTCCAGCCCAGAGCAGCGCCAGGCTGTGGAGGAGGCGCAGGACAGGGCAACCAGGGGCAGATGGGCAGAGCCAGGCAGAGGCCTTGGGTGGAAGCAGCCTCCCCTCGCGCTCAGACGGGGCTAGAAAAGGGCTTTAGGCTGCTCAGAGAGCTCTTCTGTTGGCCTTTCTTATGTAACTGTTTCAAGAAGGGACTTTCATATTCAGGAAATTAGTTGGCCTTTCAAATGTTAACCCTTTAACAGAAATTCCTCAGTTTCTTCATCACTGAGTAATTGCAGATGCAGCTACTTCAACCCAATCTGATAATCTGAGCAGGTTTTCATTGGTTCTTGAGATTATCTTTAAAATCAGGCTCAGTGAGCTCTGCTTTATTATACTGCTGCTGCCGCTGCCTGATCATCAAACCACACAGCCTTAGTTATCACGGGACAGAAGCAGTGCAAAAAGAAGTTTCCTTTGAGCTGGTAAGACAGTTTAATGTATTTCTGTGGTATGAATGCTGGTAAATAATGATAGGATACATCTGCTGAGCTAAGATACTGAAAAGTGATTTCTTTAACTGTGGAATTCTAGACTGTTTCTTGTACTAGGAACCTAGAGCAATAGAAACACCAGAGGAGTCTTAGCACACTTGTTCTGCTTGATTGCTGAGCACAAAACCACACTATCATGTCAATTCTGATAAGGATTGTGCTAGGAAGAAGCACCATCTTGAACAAATGATTTTTAGGTGCTCCTTTCTGACTGAAACAGATGAATGTAAATGAATCCAGCCAAAATAGCCCTCAGTGTTTGGGACTTTGCAGACAAAAATATGCTTTTTTAATGTATATGTATATATATGTGTGTATGAAAATCAGTTTATTGCAGTAGTCTTCCTTTGTAGCAGCTTTTTTCAGCCTCTGGGATCCAAGTCTGTAAAATCTAAAAGTACATAGCTGTTCATGAGCATCACATTGTGGAAAAACGGCTCTCCAGAGGTGACGGGAGAAGAAGTCTGGTTATATGGGGTTTTCCTGGAAAAACTGTGCTGATGAGCAAATCCTACTGCTGCTGCTTTATTCTCCAGTAGTTTGCATGCTGATCATGTGAATCTGTGATGTGCACTTGACGTGCTTCTGTCAGATGTGCCTAGCGGTATTCAGGAGGCAGATAATTAGTCATTAATTTTTCTTAAGGGATCTACAGAATATTTTCCTGTAGGCAGGGATGGTTGGAGCGCCTGTGGTGAACAGTCACGCCGAGCAGCACAACAGATTGCTCTGGAGAATTTGGGGCCAAATGTACCGGTGCAGGGATGTGTGTGTGGGCACAGACCACTGCCCACCGCTGTTCCATTTCACAGGTGCCGGTCAGTGTCCTGCCTCGTTAGTGAGCTGCTACAATCCAGACGATATCTATGCTACCCACATGCTGGGACTGGGCACTCGTCGTCTTGTATTACTTCCCCTCTCACTGGTATCTATCAAATAATTTCTTTTACCCCATAAATTCTTAAAAGCAAAGGAGATCTTTTTATGGTGTGTTCTACTGGACTCTGAGAACTTTGAATATGGATTTCTGGTAATCCAGATGTAGCAATGGCAGTCAGTCACATCTCTTTCTGTTGATAAGCAGTTGGG